GATTGACACTTTTCTCCATCAATTTTTTTTTTTTTTGCACTTTTCATCATTTTTTAAGAAAATTTGAGCACAAAAAGGCTTTGCCCCTAAAATCATTAAAGATCTTTACTTTTATAAGCTTTTTAAACTTTGTCCTAGTGTGGGGGTGATCCTTGGTTTAGGGTTCTTTGAAAAAAAATCAATAAGCTCAAATGAGGTAGTAATGGATAATTTTACTCTTTTTGTGAAAGGTAGAAAAAAGATTACAATTTCTCATCTCAAACATGAATACTCTTAATGAAAAATATTTATTGACCAATAGCAAACTTATGAATGAATCATTACAAAAATCACATACTGTAGACATCAAATTTGTCCGGCCTTGATCAAATTTACTATTTTTATTAAATAATAAATAAGATAATAATATTATTATTAAATACAATAATAAAAATTAAACAAAAATACAAAATAGTAAAAAAATACAAAATACAAAAAATATATATAAATAAATAAAAAAAGAGGGGATGGCAGTGGTGCCTTCCCAGGCACCACTGCCACCATGCCCTACCCTCCACCCCTCTGATCACCATACCCTACCACTCATACCACTACCTTCGCCTAAGCTCCTACCACTGTCGAATCAGACAAAAATAATAAAAAAGGCATAGGGCTTATGCTTGCGCCCCTATGCCGTGCTCTGTGCCATTCCCTCAAGTACAAGGCACTGTCGAAGCTCTATAAATAGAGCTCCTGATCAAACCCAAAAAAAAAAATCCTGTAAAAGCTTTCTGCCAGAAAAATAACACCAAAAAAAATTCAAAACAATCCCATGGAACGAGAACCCACCGCCCAAAAAAAAAAAACACCTGCAAAAAAAATCAAGTCAGAATACAAAAAAAATAATAAAAAAAAGAGAAAAAGTTTTAACCAAAACTTCAAAAGTAGATCTAGGCCGTTTGGGTCATTTTTTGGTGAAAAAAAGGTTAGATCTGTGTTCAGGGGGTTAAGACGAGTTCGTAGGTATTTTTAAAAATTTTTTAACATTGGCGATAGCGGTCGGAGCTCATCGCTGGCGAGGACCATGACGATCGTCACGACTGACGGTCATCAATCCCGATCGGGTAGAGAGAAGCTCTGAGTGTAGAGAGAGAGGGGGAGAAGAGAAAATGAGAGAAAAAAAATTTTTTTAGCTTTTATAGAAACTGTCAAAGCCAAAACGATACCGTTTCAATAAACGCTCAAAACGATATCGTTTTAAGCACTAGATCAATGCGTCAAGCCATGATCAGACTTGGGGTCCACGCACTGGACCCATGATCGGCTTTTTCATCAGCCTCTGATCGGTCTGACTGAACCGAAATTGAATCGCTGAACCCGATCCGAACCAAAATTGAACCATTGAACGCGATCGAACCGTTGAATCATCGAACCGAACAGCGCGTTGACCAGACTGTTGATCGATCTGGTTCAAGTAAAAAAAAAATTTGAATTTTTTTTATATTTTATATATTATTTTTTTATTTTAATTATTATTCTTAATATTTATGCATATTAAAATGTTTAAATTTAGTAAAGTAATTTTTTGTTGTTTTATAATAATAATTAATAATAAAATATATAATAAAAGTTTTTGATAATTATATTAATTTTAGAATAAATCTTATAAAATAATAAAAAAAAGAAAAAAGAAATTTTTATCTGATGATGAGATTCAGAGGTACTCCAAGTAATGATACCTACGAAATCTCTAGGTGAGAAGATTTTTTTAAATACTTTCAGTGTATTAGAGTATTTATAAAAAAAATTTCAATACAATAAAAAAAAATTTTTCTTATAAAATAATAAATAAAAATTAATTAATAATATAAAATAATAATATAAATAAGAAAAAAGAAAATTTTATCCAATGATGAGATTCTAAAAGTATTTCGAGTAGTGATGCTTTACGAAATCCCTAGGTGAAAAGATTTTTTTTAATATTACCAGTGTATTGGAATATTTATAGAAAATCTTCAATATAATAAAATTCATTTTTCTTCAAAATTTCAATTAAAAATAAAAAAAATCAAATAAAATTAATTAATAAAATTTGTGCATTAACATGATAACATTTTGCATTGTATGCATGACATAATTTTTACGAAAAGTAAATTCGAACCTCTGAGGATGAGATTCTAAGATATTTCGAGAAGTGATGCCTAAAAAATCTCTAGGTGAGAAAAAGTTATTTTGATGTTAGCAACGCACTGGAACATTTTAAGAATTATTTCAATAAAAAGGTTTAAATTTATTTTTCTCGAATAATTTTTTTAAATTAAAAAAATTAAAAACAAAATTTAAATAAATGAATAAATCAAGAAAATTATTTTTCAAACACAAAAAATGGGACTGTATTTTATCAAAATCAAAGGATAACACGTAGTTAATTGATACCATTTTAAACGGGCGCTATGGGAGTGCTAATCCTTTCCCACATGTAACCGACTCCCGAACCCAGACTGTTACGTAGACCCTAAAATTATCCTTTTAATAAATTTTAATTAATTTTGAGATTTCATTAAAAGGATATGTTTTGATAGGTGGCCAATCGCACCTAGCCAAAAAAGATTGGTGGTGACTCCATTTTTCATTTTTTTCGTTCTTTTATTTTCGTTTTCAAATTCATCAGGCGGCTCTAAAATCGTTACGACACATACTATATCACTTTTTTCTTTTAATGAGTAAAATTTTTTAACAAATTTATCTTATTTTATTCAGCAATCCCAACAATTTTAACTTATCAATCATATCAACATGAAAGATATTTTCAAAATTGAATCCTGAATTATTGTCATAACTGTTTGAATATTCATTATTTAAAATCTAGAATGGACATAAAAAGATAAAAGCATGTGATGGTGATTCACACAAAAAATGAGGTCTCATGAAAATGTATCATATCTGTCACTTTTATTAAAATAATGAAAAATAAAATAAAATTCAAGTACATAAAAGAAGTCTATTATTCCAAAAAAAATTAATATGATAAGTAATTTTAATCAGCATTTTCATATCCTTCCCAAAATTATGCCCTTGGGTGATCAGGCAAAAAACTTTTATATACATTCAACTCTCCTGATTCGTTGAAGCTCATCAAGCCTGTTCGAATTAAACTTTACACCTTATGCTTGAAAGCGGAGAAACTTTTTATAGAGTGACCCACATTATCATTATGATAATCACATGTGGCATTAACATTGTATCATTTGAAATAAAGTGACTTCAATGCTTCTAAAAGAATTGGAGACATCGAGTCGTTCTTGACTAATTCTGACAATAACTCAGTATAGGTTATGGGGATAGGATCAATGCAAGCTCTCTTTTGATTACCCATGGATCTCCTTAAATCACTTATTTGATTGTTAGGTCTTGAAATTGGTGTAGTGACAGAATTAGACCAATATGTAAGTGCTTGAAAGGTTGGTTGATGAGGGCTTCGGTAGATATTATTCATGGTTAGGTAATGAGGCTAATAAGGGAATTGTGCAATATTATTAATTGCATAATAGTAAGCAGGTTGAACATAAGGTGGATATGAAGCATAACTTTTGAATTGTTGCCTTTCAAAACTCATCGTTTGGGCTTTAATTTCTTTCTTTTTAGGCATCCACCTTTCTTGACACCACTAGCTTTTCCTTTATCAAGCTTGCCATTCTTGATGGCATTTTCAATAATCTCCCGTGATATTATCATGTCAGCAAAGTTTTTAGTTGTGTTTCCCATCATTTTCTTATAATATGGTACCTTCAGAGTGTTTACGAACAAGACAGTTGTTTACTTCTTAGTCAGAAAAGGTTGAATTTGAGCAATTATATCTCTCTATCGTTGGATATATTCTTTGAAGGATTCTGTTATCTTTTTTTCCATGCTTTGTAAAAAAAAGAAATGATGAGCCAGGACAATGATATGGTGGTACTAATTAATAAATGCCCAAACGAGCTCATTCAAGAGTGGATACGGGTTCAATCTAGTTGAACATACCATCTTACAACTGAATCAATAAAAATGTCTTAAAATATTAATTATATATAAAATTAAAAAATTAAAATGATATAAAATAAATTTGTTTCACATTGATGTAATTAACACTATATATAATTCTTGCTTACCAAACAGATAAAAGGAAAAAATATTGATCCATTTTTAGTTGTTCGAGGCCTTTTAAAAAATTCATCTGTTTTAATAAAATTCTTAGTCACTATGTCGAATTGAGTAGTAATAATTAATCAATTCTTGTATTTTCCTTTAGATATATGCTCCTCCATATTATTCAACAAATTATTTTGTTTATATTTGAATTAATTATTGAACTTGAGACTTTGTCCTATCCTTCATATATTGAATGTTCGATAATCATATAAATTTTGTCGCAATACAATTTGATTTGTATTTCATGTTGTTTATTAATTAGTTTTTGCTCTGTATATATGTTGTTTATTTTGTTCAGCTTAGAGACCAATGATAAGTTAATTATAATAATACTTACTTTTACAATCTTTTAGCTAATTTTAATTTATTTTGTTTTTTTTTTTTTTTTTGGCATGATTAAATCCCTCTAGCCTTTTCAAAATTTCTGCCTTTTTAACTTCATTTTTTAATCTCAATTTCCTTAATTTATATATAATTTATAAATATACTAAAAACGGCTAGGTAAATAGAGAAAATGTCACATGCACAAGAAATAATAAATAGTAATATATATAAACCCGAAAATATATATCAATAATATGTGGCCATGCATGCATGTGTTATCATAAACACAATAGTTAGGTTAAAAGCTTTTCTTTAATTATGGTATTAGCAAAAAGATTACTAAGCAAAAAATTAACTTAATTTTTCTCTATAAAAACCCCATCTACCTTCTTTTATATCACATTCTCTCCCTCTCTCTTCATCATCTCTTTTTTTTTTTTATTCTCTCTCTCTCTCAATATTCTTGCTTCTTATAATTAGTTTCTCTCTTTTTCAAAAAAGAAAAGATGGATAAAAAACCATGCAAATCTCAAGATGTTGAAGTGAGAAAAGGACCATGGACCATGGAAGAAGATTTGATTCTCATCAACTATATTGCCAACCATGGTGAAGGTGTTTGGAATTCTCTTGCAAAAGCTGCAGGTAAATCATAAAATATATATATATATATATATATATAATAGTAAGCAAAATATGGTGAAATGAAACTACTTTTAATTTAAGCTTTCAAAAAACTTTGATAAAGGAACAACATTTTGATCATATAGGAACTTATTTTCATTGAAAAGGGAATGATAAAAAAATTTTCAAGCTTCGTTTCATTGAAATATATAATACCAATTCCTTTTGATATATAGTAAACCTAAGGATAAAACTAAAATGTCTTATTGGTAACACTTGTTAGGGCTGAAACGTACCGGAAAAAGCTGCCGGCTCCGGTGGCTAAACTACCTTCGACCGGATGTCCGGAGAGGCAATATCACTTTCGAGGAAGAACTCTTGATCATGGAACTGCATGCTAAGTGGGGAAACAGGTTAGTATTTTCTATTATGATAACTATTGCATACATATATATAATTGTTCCAAAGAAAAAAACTATGATATGTATAAAACTATATCCACATTACTCATATAAAACAAATAAATTAATCAATTTACCCCTTCATATTCTTCTAACAAAATAAAAAGAAGATACTCTTCCCTCTTCATTGGTGTCATGACTTCATAGCTTTGATTAAGAGAAAAAGTGCACTTCTCCGGAGCCTATATACTTGTACATCCAAATCCAATATTTGGCCACGTTTGCTCTTTTGTTGAAAATTTAGCAATGTGGGGTTTGAGTTATTCTAAGCCACCAAAATGATTTGCAAACACATGGGGTTTTTTTTTTTTCATAAAATTTTGTGGCCTCCAAAATTTCTTTTACAACTTCCCTTAGTTCTTGAATTTTTCATGGCTGCCAAAAATGCCTAATAATTTTATTTTTTTTCTTGAATTTTCTTGATATATTTATGAAGGTTTTAATCCCATCTGTGTGGAAATTGTACTTCGAGAATTTTGCTTTAAATGGTGGATTTGCTTCTTTTTCCTTCTTCCTACCTTTCTTGCTTAGATTTTACAAATATTGGACCTACCCCCCATAGATTTTACATGGCAGATCAACCAAATTCAGCTTATAAAGTTATCTTCTCCGATCTCTTCCTTTCAATTTTTTTTTTCTAATTAACAAGCCAATTAATTTCTTCAAGGAACATTTTTTTTCATTTTCTTCCCTTTCAAAATATATTCTTCCTCTCAATTTTTTATCAATCTTCCTTTGAATACACCACACCGCGAGTATAAATTTTGTTTTTATTTTCTTTTGTTATAATAAAGCTATTATAAATTCGAAATTTAATTCAGTTAATTCATGCAGATATTTTTAAGATGTGATATTCAACAAATTTGTGATTTAAATTTTAGCACTTATAGCTTCTTTTGTAAAAAAAAAAAAAGCTATTATACTAATATTAAAAAACACAAAAATAAAGAATTTTGTGAAATATTTGTAATGATATATATAATCAGTAGTATGCCGAATAAATATAAAAGTTATACAGCTAGCAAAACATATTGGTAATGAAAGTTTTCTATTTTAAGCTGAACCCTTTCCAATTGGATACATGTTAAGATATCTTTTAGGAAGAAAAAGAAGCATTCTTTTACCGGGTTGAAGTAGACATAAACCTTATTGTTTTGGATTGGTTTAAGACATGGTCGGCCCCCTTTAATATATATATAAAATTCTTCCAGAGAGGATAGGGATAGTGGTTTTCACTGGAAAACAAATTAGCATGTGATCCAAAAGAAGAAATGTTCAATGTCTGCAGTTATTTATTTAATACTAATCCTAGCGACCAAAAGGTGGCATTTAGACTTAGTGGTTTAAATTTTCTTTCTTTTTTTTTAATATACTTGAAGTTTTTATACTGAAATTATTAGTTCAATTATTCTACTGAAAAATCGCGTAACTGTTGTTGTAAATTTTCATAAGCCCGAAGAAAATATTGGAAAAAATTTTAATTGTACAGTTGTTGGACAAATTTCAGGTCAAATGGTCCAATACTGTCTTGATATAGTGATATCGTTGTCAAATTGTAGACTATTTCTTGAGAAAATGAAAGAACAAAAAGTTTATTTAGATTGAACAATTAAGCTAGCTGGAACTGTTGTAAATCCATTTGAGAGGACATATTTGAACTACAGCCGTAAATGCAAGTGGATTTTTATTTTGAGAACCTCTGGAAGACTGTAACTCCATGTATCTCCTTGACTTTGGACTCTGGTTTTTAATTTTCACCATAAAAAATGGGTTATTTTTATTTTGCAACATTAGATTATAACTTTCTGCAGACATTAAATCAGTAAAAAATTATTTGATGTTAGTATCTTGATTAATTATTGAAGAATTGCTTACATAAATATGCACAGGTGGTCTAAAATAGCAAAGCATCTGCCTGGAAGGACAGATAATGAAATAAAAAACTATTGGAGGACTAGAATCCAGAAACACATTAATAAGCAAGCAGAAATTTGCTCTTCTCAGAGTAATTCCGAGTTACTTGATCATCAAGCAAGCACAAGCCAATTGCCTAGCAATAGTACTGCAGATTTCATGGAAACGTACTCTCCATCATCATTTAACCATTGCAACAACATTGAAGCATTTCCAGGAGGACAACAGATGACAGTTGAATCATCAAATCAAGAAAGCTATTGGAGCATGGAGGATATCTGGTCCATGCAGTTGTTTAATGGTGACTAAATATATATTATATGAGGATTACATGATCTATTGCATATATAGGTCATCGATGTCGGTCCAAATTAATTGTGCTTAATTTGTATAATTAATGTTAGTTTTTGTCTATATTTGAGGTTGAGAATTGTACTCCGTATTTTCAATATGATAATTTGGATCAAGTATGGCTTGTAATAGGATCTTATAGTATTATATATCCACCTATATATATAAACATATATATATATATGAGAGTTTTCAATCACTTAATTTCTTAGCTTTTGTATAATCTCCCTCAAATGTAGATAAACCAGCAAAATCTTCATATGTGAACTAAAAATATAACAATGAATAGCCAAAATGGTATAGAAGTTGGAAGATGCATTATTTTTCATTAAGGTAATGAATTAAGCTTGTTATTGTGCATATATATATATATATATATATATGATGTTTACACTCAAAATTAAAAAGGTTATGTTATGTTTGTTCAGTCTATCCCATTGATTTGATCTTACATTATCATCTTAAGATAATTTTTGTTACCTTATCTTATCATTAAGTAATATTTTAAACTTCAACGACAATTTTGGTTCAAAAAGTTCATCGAACTATTTAGAATGTCGGATTTCTTATGGTATAGGAGTTCCGATCCGCTTTCATCCCCTCTCCAACCCTTATCTAAGAAAAACTAATTTAAAGTTAAATGTGTTTTTAATTATATTAGTGAAGATTAGTTATATATATATATATATATAAGTAATTAATTAGTAGGATAATAATATTAGGTGGGATTTTCTCTAACCAAACAAAAAGACAAATATTTGATGCAAAACAAACATGGAAATGTCTTTACTTTATATAGTAATGTAATAATTAGTCACTCATCGTTTCTTTGAGGTTTATGTGAACTATAATTATTAAGAACTGAAATCCCTACACTTGTTCTTTCAAGAAAGTTCCTTGTATAACAAAGAGACAAGTTCAATTCTTTCTATAATTAAGTTTGGCCTACTAATGATATTATATATGAAAAACTTCTTTATATAGTAATAGTGATGATTAGATTACAATTATTTTTATCTTTCTTTCCAAGTAAAACTCTACCAAAATTACTTTAAATGGTTGCTTCGAGATAAAGATAGCCTAAGAAATTTAAAGGAAATGCATGTTCGATATGCCAATATATCTTCTATTGCATGCAAATTAATGAGAATGATGAATTTAAAACTTAATTCAATTAATTTATACAATAATTTTTTAAGAAATAATATCTAATATATTTGAGATTTAAATTTTAATACTTTTAATCATTTTTCCTATTCCACAAACTCTTTTATAAAAAAAAAAAAGTTCCATGACCTTGACGTTAGAGAGAGACATATCTACGAGTTACCTAACTAAAGCCATAGAAAATCGACACGTTCATTGGATCTCAAAAGCTATATACTCGTGGGAAAATAGCACTCTTCAGCTTTGCTTTGCATTTGTTTCCAATTTTGTGCATGGCCATGTAAACTAGAAGGCCGACGTGAGCCTAACTCTTGCAGTGGCCGCAAGGAAGCCTTCACATGCTCCTCATTAATATTTCTCATCCACTTGCTCAACATGTTACCACATGGTGACAGAATTTCCACACTTCATCGATCGAGAAAGAAAGCTTTTTTTATGAACTTATCCATCGCTTAGAGTAATAGCAATTATCGCATACCTACTAACTCATTAACTAGGGATCCATTCAATTTTAGAGTCTGATTAAAAGACTTTCATCATATCTGAAAGTGCGTTTTATGATCCAAATAGAACTTAGATACATAATAAACTCCTTCAATTTATAGTTAAAGAAAGTATATAATGCAATAGTTTCAAACTTGGCAAATTAAAATTTTATATCATTTATATATCTCGCCTATAACATGCACGAAGTTAGGTCATTTGAATGACAAATAGGATCGATGACAAATTGCAATATACCAACCTTCAACCCTTTAGCACCCAACCTTTTATCCAAAATAAGGATTAAGAAGATAAATCCAAGACACCATTCCTTCGGATTTTGCAGTGTCTCATATGGGAAAAATCAAAGAGAACATGAGCTTTCAATTACTTGCCTTAACATAAGAAAAAGAGCTTGAATTTGAGCCATGCATTTTATTTATTCACATGTTTTATATGCAAAAATCATCAATAGAGCAAAAGGAAAACCTCCATGTGAAAGAAAAGGAAAAAATCACATGATTGGTCGGCCATGGGGCAAATGTTCTTGATCAAATAATTACTTTGGGAAAAAAAAGAAAAACAAGTGCTATCATGATGATCATTTATGTTCTTGATCGAGGCCAATTCAAATTCTAGTTCATCGAAAAGGACAACATCCATTCCTACATGAATCATCTAATCATTAACATTTGCAAATACATTTGGCAATCTCACAATGTTAGCAAATAAAGTTTCAACAATATTTATTCTTGAGATTCAAACTTAAGACCTTTAAAATGAAATCCCAAAGTTCTAATCTTTGAGCTATATATCCCTTGAAAACGATTTTATTGAATACGTGAATATATTAACATCCAACAACTAATTTCGATGTGTCTAATAAAAATTTTATGTCAACTTCATATTAGCGTTTGAATTTTGGATATTGATAACGTAATTGTCATAGACTTCATCTATGGCATTTTTGTGAATGAGCAAGCTACCGGCGCCGACAACTAATTTGAATGGAAAAATCATTGAAGCAAACATCAAATGGCATGTGACAAGATGACTACAATATTTGTATATATGCAAATGAGAGTTTTTTTTTTTTTTTTTTATAGCAAGAAAGGGCATTCAAACGCATAGCTGGAATGTGTTAAAGGACTTCCAAATTTGTTACTTTCCATCCTCTCTCTATTCACTATATTTTGCATGTGCCTTTGTATAAACTTTGAAAATGTTAAAGTATTCTTTTGTAGTTTAAAGATTTCTTGGTTGTCATGCCTCTTTCTAGCTTTCCTAGCCAACAATTGTTTGGACAGTTGACAGAGTGTTGGATTCTTACTTTCGGTGATTAAGTTTAAATTCTAACAATTTCAAATATAAAAATAAAAATAAAAAGGTTTTTAACAAGAAAAATAGAATAATTTAGATCCCTTTCAACTCCATATTATTAGTTTAACAAAACTTCATTTTGTGTAGAATTTTAATTAATATGTGGCAATTGAGAGAGAGATCAATTTAAATCGATCGATGTGTATAATCTTATAATTTGAACTAAAATTCAACTACGAAATTGGACTTATTTAATAAATTAAATAAATAAAATGAATCAAATATAAGCTTTTATAGAAACTTAGCATTCTTAACCCATGTCTACAACATGTTGTGTTGATATTTCTTTTTTATTATTATTTTTTAAAAATATATGGGTCAGCCTTCCTGTTGGGCTAAAATTGGGCCTGGGTCCAAGAAACTAAACCCCAACCAGGACTCTGGCCCTTCAATAAGTGTTTGGAGGCTAAAGCCTTTTCAATATTAGGCTTGTTTTAGGTTCAACAAGGCCCATACTAAATTAACAAAGACTTGAAATTTGGGCTTGATTCCTACACATTTTTTCTCAAGTTATTATATCTTAGATTCCATGAATTTTTAATACCCTTATAAAAAGGAATCAAAATCCCTTTTTTTGTTTAAATAAAAATATACAATGGTTGGCATAGTTACCTTAAAGTTAAATTTATTAATTTTTAAAATTTTTGTTATGTATATATAAAATATTATACTAAAGAATTATAAATATAATAATAATGCCATTTTGTAGCTCAATTACTTTTTTTTTCCTTAAATGGTAGTTATATGGATGTGTAACATATGATTTTAATTAAATGTTGTTTATGAAATGAGAATTAATTATAAATCCTTATATAATTTAGTTTCATTTAGCATTGCTATTTAAAATAATTTTTGAGTTTAAAAATTATTTTTAACTTAAACATAATGCTAAACAACAACAAAAAATAACTTTTAATTAAAAGAACTTAATTTTTTATTTTTTTCATGAAAAATATAACAAATTATCCCTACATTTTTATTTTTCAAGAAATTATACAAACTAGAAGAAGATAAATTATAAAATCCCTCTTGTGGTAGAGATCCGAAGAGCCTCATCCACATTCCATAATTTGGCTTCTTCCTCTAACATAATCAAAAAATAAAAAATCTCATTCATTCATTTTATTTATTTATTTCTCAGCTTGATGTTTATATCATCAGTTTCATCTCACAATTACCAATGTAACACAATCACCACCTGGCAGCGTTTTTTCCACGTGGTAATATCCAATTCGCAAGATCCACCTCTTGTTGGTCCTACACAACCTTTAGACACAGCATCAAACTCCACGTGGTGTTAAGTCAACATGGGTCCCACAATTCCACCTCAACCAACGGCCCTGATCCTATTAGGTAATGACAACTTTCATACCTTGTATTACGAGAGTCAATTAAGGACAAAACCGTAAAAACTTGTTATTTCTTCAATTATTAATGGAGTTTTCTGTGAAAAATGCCAACAGCTTCTAAATTGAAATTCCTTAATAGAGCAAAAAAAAAATTTTTTTTTTTTAAGAAAAAAGAGATGGGAAGAGCATTTGTATATGTAATCCTTGGAGGAGGTGTAGCAGCTGGATATGCAGCAGTTGAATTTGCAAAAAGAGGGGTTTCTCATGGTGAACTCTGCATTATTTCTGAAGAACCGGTGAGTCATTGAAAAATTCATTTTTTTATTTAATTTTTTCTTTCAAGTTTATTGCTTTCAGCTTTATTTTCTTCGTATCTGTGATGGGTATTCACTCTTTGTTGAATTGGGTGGTTCTTTTTCTATGTTATTTTTGCTTGGTCTACAACATTCAGTCTTTTTTTGTTTGCTTTTGAATTATGATACAATTTTATGTACTAAAAGACTTCTTTTTGCTGATTTGGGTATTTTTATTTTTTTACTTACTGCTTGTTTTGATTGTTTGTTTCTATGTTATTTTCTTGCAGACACTTATTCTTTTTGTATTGCTTGATTTTTATTATTTGGTCAAAAGCTTAGAAACGGTTTTGTTTGAATATTTGATTTGTGTCAAAGCTGAATGGAATTGATTTTGGAGAATAGGATGTGAAAATTGAATTATGAAGCAGATAATTTTACTGAAAGAAGTTTGGATTTTGCATGAGATTGATGTATTGGAACGTGATTGGAATTTCAACAATCAATTATATAGTTAAGAGTTGCTTATGCTTCTAATTCTTTGTGGTCCATACCATATTTATGAACTTAATTTATCTGTAACTTAGAAAATCTTAAGGGTCTCGCTTTCCATGGACATGAAGCGATTTTTGTCTACAAGAACTGGGATTGTGCTAAAACTAAATTGGCATAATCTAATATAATATGCTTTACAATAGCCTAGACATTAGGGTCAGTTACCGTTTGGAATCTTACAAGTATTGACCCTTTGTGCACAGTATGCAATACAATTTCTTTGTACATATCTTTCAATCATCTTTTCTTAATTCCTGTCTCATTACCAATTCCTAATTATCTTTCTGATTTGTGGTTATGTGATAAGATTTTAGTACTTTATATTTTTATTCCTTAATTTTTTCAATTTTAATAGAGGACTACGGATTTTCTTTTCAGGTTGCCCCATATGAGAGGCCTGCTTTGAGCAAAGGCTTTTTACTTCCCGAATGTAAGAAGCATTTTAATCTGTATACTCCATATATGTTGTTTCTTACTTTCTTTTGGGTTTCAATTTTATTTTTTGCACCACATTTCTACTTGGAAAAGATTGTAGAAATAAAGAGAAGTAGAGAAGTGGATGAATTTAATGTAATATTTGGTAATTACTGTTAACTTTAAACTAATATCTTGTCTATACACTAGAGGTTTTATATTTCTCTATGTCATGCTTATCAATTTGCAGTCTCTGTAATTATAATTTTTTTTCTAATGATAGTGATAAAATACCTAGTGAAACAGTTGATTTAACCTACAATCTGTAGCTTTTTGGTATAAGGAGAGATTTGAGAAAATACTTACGGTGAAAGGCTGAAGGATTATCCTAAATATTGGTTCAGGGTAGGCATTGGTTTCTTGCCCTTCTATTTCCTAACTTTTACCTGAATTAACGGAATAATCCTAATCGTACTAGATAGACATGTTTTCCAATCTTTTTTTTATCCTGATTATCTCTGGTTTTTGTTGATAAATTTTGCATTAATATGCAGCTCCTGCACGCCTTCCATCATTTCATACTTGTGTTGGTGATAATGAGGAAAGGTTAACTCCAAAATGGTACAAGGAACATGGTAAATACTCATAGCTTACTCCTTTTACTTACCCAGATTATAGAAAAAAAAATACTTATTGAAAATATATGCTTTCAACTTGTGCTAGATGCTTCATTGCAAGATTGTTGGTCACTAACTTTCTGGTGTTTAAAAATTTATCTCAAATCATTGAAAATGTTGATGAACTATTAGTGGCCTTATTTCTTTCCGTTCATATATAAAGTCAAAGAAAGAGAAGTAAACCTTTAAATTCTAGAATTTTTCTTTTCTAAACACCTTATTATTCTTTTTCAGGGATTGAATTAGTCCTTGGAACTCGAGTTAAGTCTGCTGATGTGAGACGTAGAAAGCTATTAACAGCAACGGGGGAGACTATTAGTTACAAGTTCCTCATCATTGCCACAGGTGCTCGGGTATTGAAACTAATCTTCTAGTGCCTTCTCTTGATTCGGATAGTCACTTGATCTGTGTGTTACTTCTCTTGGCAAAATGTGAATAACTTCTCATAAAACCTGAAAAGTATGTTTCTGGATACGATGATGGTTGTATTCTACTCAACAGGAGGAGTTAACATAAAAATTGGAGCCTATCCTATTATTGTCACAGTTCTTTGATTTATAGATTGTTGATATTTCTCCTCATGGATTATATGTCTGCACTTCTGGCTTATATTTTTTGTCTGTATCTGTATCTGTTAATTCTAGGCTCTGAAGCTTGAAGAATTTGGAGTGAGTGGATCAGAAGCTGAAAATGTATGCTATTTACGAGATTTAGCAGACGCAAACAGCCTTGTCAATGTGATGCAATCTTGTTCTGGTGGAAATGCTATAGTCATTGGTGGTGGGTACATTGGAATGGAGTGTGCTGCATCTTTGGTGATCAATAAAATAAATGTAACCATGGTTTTCCCTGAAGCACATTGCAGTGAGTGTTCATGGTGCTATTTTTTCATTTCTTTATCAAACCATACTGCTTTTGTTTTTTCTTTCTCCTTTTTAAGCGTCATGATGATAAAGAGCACTTCTATGTAAATGATGTTCTATTCCCTATGTTGCAGTGGCTCGTTTATTTACACCGAAGATTGCAAGCTATTATGAGGATTATTATCAATCTAAAGGAGTTAAGTTCATTAAAGGAACTGTCTTGTCATCATTTGAATTTGATTCCAGTGGGAAGGTAAATCATATTAATATGCTGTTTTATGGTTGAATTTCTTTTGCCATATAATAGCATAATTTTGGACCGTGATTATTTACTAAAAGTTGCATTATGTTTTGGAGCATAACGTGATGTTAGTTGATTAGCTAATCAAGTTACTTTTCAGGTTACGGCTGTTAATCTTAGAGATGGAAGTCGGCTACCTGTAGATATGGTTGTGGTGGGCATAGGAATACGCCCAAACACAAGCCTGTTTGAAGGCCAACTGACACTGGAGAAAGGTGGGATCAAAGTGAATGGGAAGTTGCAAACAAGCAACAACTCAATTTATGCAGTTGGAGATGTTGCAGCATTTCCGGTCAAACTATTTGGTGAAACCCGCAGACTTGAGCATGTTGATGCAGCCCGAAAATCTGCAAAACATGCTGTTGCTGCAATCTTGGAACCAGAGAAAACAGGCGAGTTTGACTACCTGCCATTCTTCTACTCCAGAGTCTTTGCATTTTCTTGGCAGTTTTATGGAGACAATGCAGGAGAGGCAGTGCATTTTGGGGATTACTCAGGGAGTACCTTTGGGGCTTACTGGATAAGCAAGGGCCATCTTGTTGGCTCTTTCCTTGAGGGAGGAACCAAAGAAGAGTATGAAGCCATAACCAATGCCACCAGGCTTAAACCAGCGGTTGAGGATCTGGCTGAGCTGGGAAGGCAGGGTTTGAACTTTGCTTTGACAGTTAGTAAGAAACCACAGCCGACACCACCTATGGAAGTCAGCACTGCTAGCCTTATTCTGGAAAAACCCATCTTCCCCTGGTATGCAACTGCTGGTGTTGTTGTGGCTGCATCAATAGCTGCATTTGCGTATTGGTACGGAAGGAGACGCAGAAGGTGGTGAGAAATCAACTTTCCCGACATCAGACAGTTCTGATTTTCACCTGTAACATCACTGTTGTAGCACTGATAGAACAGAAGTCTGTCCAAATACTTGATATATGTCATTGATTTTTACTCAAATCCATGGATACCTCAAAATCATTACTCAATGCAAAATCTTATCCTTCATCAAAATTCTTGAACAATTACCATTCCTCTTACAATCATTGTCCATATTTCAGTAATAACAGAACTGTTCCAACAGCCCAGGAATTCTATTCACCAAGTGACAGTTTATAATATACACGTATAAATATTTTCATATGGGAGAAAGTACGCAAACGGGCGTTTGGTCTAGTGGTATGATTCTCGCTTTGGGTGCGAGAGGTCCCGAGTTCGATTCTCGGAACGCCCCGCTTTACCCCCTTTTCTATTTTTATATTCTTCTCTTTTACAAGGTCATTTTCGTCAAATTACATCCTCCAACCAATAACAGTTTGGTCTGTATCCTTCGATTTGCCCTTTTCTTTCCTCCCTTATCCTAATCCTCTCTTCACTCTTTCACTCCAAACAAAGGAAGAAAAGAAAGCAAAGGAAGAAGAAAAATGGCTTGTTCAAGTCTCTCAACACTTTCTCTCCGTTTCCTTTCTTATCCTCCACCCACATCCTCTTATCCTACGCAGCCTCTCCTTTTCAAAACCCCTTCTCTCCAATTCCCTCTCCGTTCCACCGCTCCCTCGAACCTCACCCACCGTACCAACTTACTCCGTCCTCTCAATGCCACTGCAACACCTGAAAAGATCGAAAAACTCGGCGCTGAAATCTCCTCCCTAACTCTCGAAGAAGCCCGAAACCTAGTCGACTATCTCCAAGAGAAACTCGGAGTCTCTGCCGCTGCATTTGCCCCCGCCCCCGCCGCTGTCGCTGTTGCCGCTCCCGGTGGTGCCGATGCTGGAGCTGCCGTTGTCGAGGAGAAGACGGAGTTCGATGTGGTGATCGAGGAGGTTCCTAGCAATGCAAGGATTGGGGTGATTAAAACCGTTAGGGCTCTGACGAACTTGGGTTTGAAAGAAGCAAAAGATTTGATTGAAGGGTTGCCGAAGAAGTTCAAAGAAAAAGCTTCAAAAGAGGAGGCTGATAAAGCGAAGAAACAACTTGAAGAGGCTGGAGCTAAAGTTTCTATTGCTTAGAATTACCTTTTCAAGGTTTTTTTTTTTTTTTTAGATTTTGTTTAAGTACTTTTTTGTAAGATTAATTTTCAGTACAGTAGAAAAAGTTTAAATGTTGATTTTTGTATTTTGAAGTCTTTTTTTTGCCGATATAATTGATGGAATTTAAAATTTTTAGTTGCTTCTCTTCTATTTGTTGAAATGCTTGATTGAATATGAACTTGTTAATGAAAATAGGAGAATTTTGGGTATTTTTTCTTGTAGTTTCTTGCTGAATACTTTAGTTGTCTTTGTGTGAAACTGAATACCAAACATTGATTTGGTTTGCGTTTGGCAAAGATTGAGTTTTTTTTTTTTTTTTAGTCTTAAGCATTGCGTTTGAGACGACACGAACAATCGTTTCAGTTCTGGTTCTTTAATGCATGTCTTTGTTCTTCAATACGAGTGAGTTTGCATGTCTTAAGCATTGCATTTTGAGATGACAAGAACAACAGTTTCTTTTTTTGGCCAATAAGAACAACAGTTTCGGTTCTGGTTCTTCCATGAATGTGTCTTTGTTCTGCAACACAAGTGAGTTTGCATGCATATACATATACATTGATTTGGATGTAAAACCATGTTATTTAAGCTGAATCGTGGTTCCCATTTTGAAGTTGTTAGGAATGATGCATGCTTTAATCCAAGTTACCAGTTGTTTAAACCATCCATTAGCAATTCCAGACTCGAATTTGATGTCGGATTTTCCATCCCTTGTAGATGATGATAACCTAATCTAGTTTGTGTGTTTCCGAGAGCTCCAGCATTCATTTGGATCCCCTCAGTCACCTTCACCATTGTATAGTTTCTGCTGTGTTGTATCTCTTTCTGAATTTTAAGACCTTGGTTTAAAGCATTAGAACCAAAGACGCAACGCAATCATCATTTGAATGCATAGTAAGAGGGATTCTTACCCAAAATCAATCGAAAACTGGATCCGTTTTAATTCAAATTTAGAAGGTAAACGAAGAGATTTACATTAAATTTATAAGATATTATTTATTTTGATTCAAAAAATTTATGATTTTATTTTATAAAAGATATTTTATAAATTTGAGTTTAAATTTCAATTTATATATATTATAATAAATTTTTAAAATATATCGATATGATATTAAAATATTTGGATGTGAAATTATAATATTATAATAAGTCAGCTGTCGGGTGAGCGGGGAAACTGCGAATCTGCTCTTTGGTTTGCATTGGACTGATCGTTTCAGTTCTAAAGATTTCTTTTGCCGAAAAAAGTTAATCCATTTTCCAATTATTCAATGGTTTTGTAAGGCAAAAGACAACTTCCTGTTCCAATTTTCTAGCTCAATTTCAATAGTTGGACTCTCGAAACTTGATTTAACTCAATTTTTTTTTATTTTGTATAAATAAAAAAGGACATGATATATGAGATGGAAAAAGAATAACAAAAAGTTAAAAAAAAAAAAAAAGAAGCCCATTTCTAACTAAATAAATGATGCAGTAACTGAGACAGATGGTCCCAATTGGTGCGTGGATTTTAGGCTTCTTGGTTCCCCCATCAATCACTAACAAAGAAGAAAGTTGACTTCTTTTTTTTTGGGGGGGGGGGGTGGGTGTGGGTTGGGATTGCAGCGAAATTTTCAAAGGGTCTCTCAAAATTTGTTGGACGGCATTTCCCATCATCCGCTTAATAGAGAGGGTCCATGCTAAATTTAGGATTTTCAGTTTCTAACTTTTTTTTTTATAATTTTTTAATTACGTCATGTAAATAAAACACTAATAATTTATGTATTTTTATTATATTTTATTCAAAAATTATATGATAAAATTTATGTTCATACGTAAAATAAATAAAAATTTTATTTTTTTATTAAATTTATATATGATTTTTGTTTAAATTTTAAGCTTTTTTATTTTTTGTATCTTTTTTCGTATTATTTTTATATCATGTGATTTTATCATATTTTAAATTTTTAAATATTTATTTTCATAATACTAATAATAATACATAATATAATTGAAACCTTAACATACAACAAAAGGTAAATTTTTTTCTATCAAAATTCTAATTTGGATTGGATAAAAGAACCAAAATGTTTACAGTTTTTTTTTTACTATGAAATTAAAAATACAAGTAGAAATTAATTATAATAATAATCAAATATTATATCTGTATAAAAATTACGAAATTAAATCAAACAAATAAATCAACCAATAAACCATTATATAAATGAACAAATTCATATAAAACTAATTCAAATTCACATATAGTAAGATTTGAATTTAGAATCTCAAAATTTCAAAACCTCTTACTTATCACTAATTCAATACTTTAACTTTCTTAAAATTTTGTAAATATTATTATATGACACTATTTGGCTGACTTTTAGACAAGTTAACATATTATCAAAGCCTTGAAGGTTATAAATTCGAAGGAATTTACAGCATAATGTTCTCTTCAGTTAAAGTAAGTATCAAGATAAGAAAATTTAATAATAGACGAGAAATTAAAAAAGATTACTATATAATATTATTATCAAATCAATAGGATTTGAATTAAATTCAAATTCAAAATTTAAATATTTATATTGGTAATAATAATAATAAATTAAGTCTTATATCTCATAACTCTAGGGTTAGCTGTATAAAAGAAAAAAAAATGAATTATATTGGGTTGTAGTTTTGAATTTTTTCGTATCGTTCATTTAAATCAATAAAAATATTTTCATCTACTGTCTTAATTCTCATATAATTTTTTATTATTTACATTCACATTTTTCGTAATCTACTTTTAAAATTTTTTGTCTCTATCAAATCTAGAAGCTAATTTCTCTCAACTAATATATAGATAAGCTTATGTTTTATATGTTCAAAACATCTCAAACAGTCTTTTTTTATTTTTTCTTCAATTCGGACTATCATAATTTTTTTCAACTCTCTTCATTTTTTATTTTGTGTATTGTAATCTTATTACTTATTCATCTAAGCATCTTTATCTTAATTATGCTAATTTTATTCTCATTATTTTTTAATGGTCTAACACTTAATCTCACGTAACAGTGCAAGTCTTATAGTTATTTTATATTTATATTGATATGTATATAAATAAATATTATTATAGTACTTGTACATCACATATACTTGAAAATAATTTTACAATTTAAAGTTAGATAAAAATCACATTTAACATAAGAATTTAATTTTTATTTTTAAAAATTAAGATGTATAAGGCTTCTTAATTTCAAATTTAGAATAAATCACATGATTTAAAAAATATTTATATTAAATTTACAAATTGTCCATTAAAAAATATTAACAACAAAATTTGAATCTAAACTTTATTACTTTAAAACTTTAATAATTAATCAAACCCGCAACTTAAAATTTTGATAACATATAACATTTACCAGTTTGTTATTTTAAGTAATAAGTAAAATTTATTTTACTACAAATAGACCTAATAATTTGTGTTTTAGTATCGTATCTCGTATCTTGTGTAGTGTTTGATATGTATAATGACATAAATTATTAAAATATAAAAACAACATAAATTATAAAACGTGTTTAAATTTTAAATTTGAATATGATGCATTTATTATACGTGTTTTATGCGATACGACATGATTAATATGTGTATAATTAGTTCAATTTAAACACAAAATGAATAAACACGAATAATACGGATATACATAAATAAATACGATTAATATGAATATATACAAAAATATTATTAAAATAACAAATAATTATAAATTATATATCATTTTCAACTTAATAAATTTGACATATTAATAATATAAAAAGTACTTGCATATTAAAAAGAATAAGTATTTAATATATATTTATATTTTAATATATATTATATAACTATATTAGTTTTTATTATCAAATTCAAAGTGATGAATTATTAAATATTAAAAAATAAAATAATGATGTATAACACTAGTGTTAATATTTATATTGTATTTATATTATTAATATAAAAAATAATTTTATAATAATTATTAAATGAGTATTATAATTAAACATTTTAAATAATTTTTATATGATAATGAATAGCTAATTAAGTATCATAATTAAAAGATAAAAAATTATAATAATCTTTATACGTTTATATTAAATTAAAATAAATATAAAAAATGTGTTAATTGTGTTAAAGGTATTAAACATATACTTATATGATAATATTAAATTAAATATATTTTTTGTGTCATGTTGTAAACGAATTGAATATGAACAAACGAACGTATATCCATGATTTGTTTATTTATTTTAGAGGTATTCATATTTGGTTCATATTCGTTAAGAAAATTATTTTGTTAGTTCATGTTCATTTGTTTAAATAATAGATTGATTGCATTTGATTCGTATTTATTCAATTAAGTTAAATGAACTTGCTTATAAACATTAAATGAATATGTTTACGAACATAAATAAACAAATATATTTATGAACAATAAATAAATCATAATAAAATAAATTTAAACAAATAAACTTTAAACAAATATAAACGAATTCAAATAAATATAAATAAACTTTAAAATATGATTAAAGTAAAAAATAAAAATATAATTTTATTAGTATTATTATAAATAACAAATAAATAATAAATGAACCAACTTTAAATGAATACGTTCACGAATACAAATGAATCAAATCACTATTTATATTAAATTTTTTAATAAAAAAATATAAAAATATTATTCAAAATCATTTGTTAAACTTGATAAACGAACATAAATAAACATAAATAAACAAAAATTAAATATATTCAAGAATAATTAATCAAAAAATCTATTCATTTATGCTTTTAATTAAATGCGTATCTATGTAATATATTTTATTCAAACATATTTTTTATATATTTAAATGATAAATTATATCATATCAAAATTATATCAATATAAATAAGAATATATATATTTTAAAACATAATTTTTTTTTGTTTTAAGTTCGTGACCCGTCTAAAAATATCGGATCTAACTACAAATTACTCGTCTCTAATGCCTTAAATTACACGTGTCAACGATCCGCAATATGCTACGACCTTAATTTTTAAAAATCCATACCAATATCTTCATATTCGCAGCCACAACAAAAGAAACGACACTCGCCAATATAATCCTCCACGTGTCAAATTCCAAACATTAGAATCGAAATCCAGCGAGTACATTACATTTTCCATTCGAGCTATTGCTTGGTGAAAGTGAAACCTTAAATATATTGTATGAAACGTGGACTTCACCGTTCGATAAAGACAACAAAAGATTAAAACTCTTCTGCTCTGTCTCACTTTTTTTTTTTTTGTTTCTTTTATTTTCATTTTTTAAGCCAAAGAAAATTAAAAAAAAAAAATTACCCAAAGTCACCGCTTTCAAACCTGAAACCCTATATCTTCTCTTACAGCTTTTTTTTTTTTTTTTTAAAAAAAAATTTTTTTTAACACGAGATTTTCGTTTTACTTGTCTCTTTTTATTTGAAGAATCTTAAAAAAAAATGGTGAAGTCTCTTTGTAAAGAGTTTTTGTTGTAAATCTCCAACCCTGAGAAAAACCCTTCTTCTTCAGGTACTTTTCTTTCTTTCTTTTTTTTTTTTAGTTTGGTTTTATATTAAATATATAATTGTTCATTTCTTAGTGGTTTTTTTATTTGATAAATATGGGCAAGTGGAAGTGGGTGTTTTGTTGATTTATTTTTTCATATATTTCAGTTGTAATAATCCCAACTTTGAGGCTGATTTTCTTGGAAATATTCAGTGTTGGGGAAAAAATGGAAGCTTTTGAAAAGGAAGCAAAAACATTCTTTGAGGATAAGTCTTTAGACCAAGATGCTAAACCCCTGAGAGAAGGTTCGACAGTTGCAGCTGCTTTTGCAATTGAAAAATCATGGGAAAATGGTGTTAGGGTTTCTGTAAATGGAAAGGAAGGTTCTTGTCTTGATGAAGATGGTGAGAGACTTGAGGATTCTGAGATGAATGGGGTTTCTTCTTTGTTACAGATGAAAGGAAGTGTCAGGAATATTGATATTAATGGTGGAAGTGAGAGTGTTGAAGGGTTTGGCACTCTTTTAGGTGCTGTTTATAAAAGTAAAGAAATTGGTGTTGAAAATGTATTGCCAAGTGGTGACGATGGTGTTTCACTTGAGGATATTCATGTGGAAATTGATGGGAAAGAAAGGAGTTGTTTGGATGATGAGCAGAATGGTGGTGGCATGATAATGGTGAAGGTAAATGAAATAGATGATGATGGTGGTGTTGATTTGGGGTTTGAGTTTTCTGCTGGTGATTTTGTATGGGGTAAGATTAGGAGCCATCCATGGTGGCCAGGGCAGGTTTATAATCCATCGGATGCATCGGATTATGCAGTGAAGGTAAGACAGAAAGGAAGACTCCTTGTTGCCTACTTCGGTGATAGTTCGTTTGCATGGTGCCTCCCATCTCAGTTGAAGCCTTTTGAGGAGAATTTTGAGGATATGTCAAAGTTGAGTAACTCTAAGAACTTTCTCAATGCTGTACAGACATCTGTTGGTGAAATTGGCAGACTTGTTGAGTTGAAGATGACTTGCTCTTGTGTTCCAAAAGAGAATTGTTCTGGACTTGACAGGCCTCTAGCAGCAAATGCTGGGATAAAGAAAGGAGTTCTTGTGCCTGAAGGTGGGATTGGAAAGCTTTCAATTGGTCTCTTTAAGCCAGAAGAAATTCTTGGTAAACTGAAACAAATTGCACCGGCTGTTTCTACGAGCAATTTGCTTGAATGTACAGTGTTGAAGGGCTGGCTTTCGGCTTTTAGTCGATCGATACGGCACTGTCCAATGCCCATTCACCATAAACCCCTGTCAATTCCAGACCCTGAAGAAAATGTGAGAACTCTCGTGGTGGACATGAGTGACTATAATGAGGCAGTGGCAGTCCCCATAATAGGTCCAGTTGAGGAAGATTGGACTTCTTCATCAGGTACCAAATTTGGCCAATGCAGTCTGAGGTGCCCAGAGATTTTGGAGGATGGCATTTATCAGAGGAGGAAACAGAAAAGCATTGCTGAAATTATAAAAGGGGAGTTTGATGTTCTGGCCAGAAAGTATGAGGATGTGGCTCAGAAGGGAACAAATTCAGGTGAACAAGCATCCTCATCTTGGGGGAAAAAGATGAAAGGCAACAACAAAGCTAATGGTGATGATGCCCTTGATTCAATTTCCATACCAAGAAAGAGGAAGGGAACTGAGCTTTCAGGATCTCTTACAACTAGAAAGGGCAAAATGTCTAGTGTAGAAACTGATATCAGTGGGGCCCAGGAAGAAATGGATAAGGGGTATTCATCAAGGGGAAGGAAGATGAAGAGTAAAGGAGCTAGCAATAATAATGATGGTAGTGGAGGCAAAGAAGAGACCAAAAACCATCCTGTCTTAGCTAAAAGGAAAGTGAATGTTGGATCAGGGGTTGGAAATAGTGATGCCAAAACCAAAGACCTTATTGAGAGTGGTTCTTTGTTGAGAGAAAGGAAGAAGAGCAAGTACTTATCTCCTCCTTACACAAGTCCAACTGGGAAGCAAAGAAAAATGGACATAGAATCAGAATCCTTGAAGGTTTCCAATGGCACCCAAGTAAAAGAGCAGGCTACTGGCAACCTCGTTATGTCCCCTCCGGTTCTTGGTGTTGAAAGGAATCAACTCACTGAAGAAGTTCATGCAGAGCAAGGAGCATTGGTTGAAACAAATTTTCATTCACCAAAACAAGACCTGAACAAGAAGATTGATCCGGCAAAAGTTAAAACTCCTGCCAATGAAGTTTTAATTGAAGTCCGGTCTGTAGCTCTTAGTCCGCAATATCGAAGGAAAAACAACTCTTTTGAAATTGTTGTGGGGTTTTTATCTGTATTCCGAAGCTCTGTGTACCAAAATGGATCCAACTATGAACCATATAATCAGTTTCAACCTCATAGAAAGAGGAAATCTCCTGACTCTATGGCTGGGTCAGTAGGAAAGGACCAAAATCTCACTGATCTTGTTCCTGCTGGACATAGATCCAAGCAGAAAAAGGTTGGAAAGAATGAGGAAACAAAGGTGGATCAATCCAATCCCCGGCAAGCTAGCAGGGCATCACCGAAGAAAACAAGCGAAGAATCAAAGGCATACAATCCTAAAATCAAGCAAGCTGCCAGGGCTGCAGTTATGAAAAAAAATGATAAGGGAATTGTTGAAAATGCTTCACCTGCTGCTCTCTTTGTGACATTTGGCCCAGGATCCTCACTGCCTACGAAGGATGATCTTATCGGAATATACAGCATGTATGGAGCTCTGAACTTGGAGGATACAGATATGTTCTACAATAATTTCTGTGCTCGTGTTGTCTTCCTAAGAAGTTCTGACGCTGAACAGGCCTTCAACAGTTCACAAACTGATAGTCCCTTTGGAGCTTCCAATGTCAGCTTTCGGCTTCGACTTCTCTCGGCTGCATCAGCTCATGAGCACAGGAAAATACCAATTGCAAAACCTTCTCCTCTAACCAAGGAGGGAGCCAAAAGATCAAAGAAGTCGTCAGCTTCCCCAAATTCAGCTGATCAGACATCACAGCTTAACTACATCAAGCACAAACTCGAGCAGCTCACTTCAATTCTAGAGATATCAGATGAAAAGATGTCCTCAGAACTTAAATCCAAAGTACAAAGTGAGATAAAAGACCTGTTGGAGAAGGTAACCACAATGGCTGAGTCTTTATCTTAAATCAGGACACAACAAAACACTGGATGATTGAGTTCTACACGATACCCAATAATCCTGTTCTTATAACCGTTTATCCATATTCTGGTTTATAGATATTACTTACTGTTAGGATTTATGAAAAGAGGTTTGTCATTTGCTACTACATGAGTTAGGATTTATATGATATAGGTAAGGTGTTTTAGTTCCAGTTACTGTTTGCATATGTTAAATCACCACAGGCTCTATCAGCCACTCATGCATGTATAGTGCAAACTGCAGTAGTTGGATTATCTTTCTATGAAAACAAATTCTGTTACTTTTGAGCAAATTGGAATCAAATTTTTTTATCAAATGTTGATATCTGTTTTATAGTTTCTAAGAAATTCTTAGATATAACACTCTCTTCTCACTCTGTTCTTGCATTTCCACAACTTATATATTCAATGGTTATGACTTGTGAAGTTGTGATCATCAAAGTTGAAAATATACATGGTATAAAGAAACTAATGGCTTGGAGATATTTGAATTTTATACAGAAAAATAAAAGGACAAAAGAAATGTTTTTGCAAGTAATTCAATCACACAGAACCATATATAAAGACCAGACGAATGGCAGTTGTTTTTCCATATATCGAATACATCGACAGGGTATGTTTCCCAAAACAAAAGCAACTCATTTGCTATCCCCAACTCATTTGGTATGATTAGGTAGCTCCAGAGTCTTAAGGCAATAAACACAATGAAAAAAAAAATCCAATTTAGTCATCAACAGGGTGCTGTGGAGTTTCATCTGTAACACAATGAGAAAATCCACAGCCATAGAAACAAATTTAGTCATCAACAGGGTCCTGTGGTGTTTCGTCTGGTCTACGCTTGATCGTTACAACAGGGCACTCAGCATGCTTCACGCAAAATTCACTCACAGTTCCAACAAAAACCCTGGGGAAACAAATTTTAAGAGAAGATTTAAGCTTTCATTGACACCCTTCCACCCAAAAACACCAAATTAAGTTCATCTAGAGATTGAAATGAAAAGACAAGTATCAAAGATAGGAGGCATCAAGACCTAAGCCTACCGTTGGAAAGGACCGAGTCCTCGACTACCCACAACAAGGAGATCAGGTTGGATCCTCTTCACTTCATGACAGATAACTTCCTTTGGATCACCTTTCTTGATCCAAGCTTCGCAAGCAACCTAAAGTCAGCAAAATTTTATTATCTGGATAAATAAAATTTTAAAAGGTTAAGTTTACTTGAGAATGATTATTTACGTTATGTTTGATATGCAAGATTACGATAGGATAGGATAAAATGATATTATGAATAAGATTAGATTAAATAATATCATCCTATTTTGTGTTTGATGTATGTAAGGATTAGAATAGTATAATTTATTTATTTATCAAAATTATCCTTCCTAAAAATTTATACAATTTAAATTATTGATATAATTTTTAAGGATATAAATGTAAGTTTAATCCCATGGATTAATAATAATCCTCTCCATTTGAAGAGGATTGAATAACCCTATGCAAAGAGGATATTAATCCTCCTTGCAATCTCGATCACTCTCTTTAGATATAAATCAAACATGATATAGAATGATTATCATAATATTCTATCAATAATCATATGCATCAAACATGACCTTAAGAATGAAGATTACCCCAATCTCATGACACCTTGTGACAAAGTATTCCAGCAGATGAAGCCCTCTTATCCTGTCCCTGTGCTTCATGGCCTTGAAATCTTCAGGAGAGGCATATATGCTGTCCATGTCATCGAACCCTAGAGCAAAACAAATTGAAAAGAACATCACTTCGATTACCTAGAATCAGATGATTTTAAGACACTCAAAAGCTCAAACGAAGCATACAAAATTCGCCACTCGAAACCAGTATTACCACAGGAATTCATAGTTTCAGAACCAAAGCTTAAACATTTCAAGCTTATAAATGCCATTGCTATACTTAAAAAGCGTAGACAACTTTTTCAAAAATGCATTTTTCTAAGGCATGCTTTTAACATTATTGAATAAAAACATTGACTTTATATCACTTTCCTAATTTTCTATTTCTCAGTAGCCAAACAGATTATTTCCTTAGCAACCAAACAACAAAACTAAAGATTCCAGAAATGATCAATCAAAATTAACATATCGTAACCTCATAAATCAGAAAATCACAGTAATTTCGACAAATTCAAGCACAAACAACAATCGCATTCTCACACACTCTACAAACCCTAACGCAACCACGCGCTCATGTTAATTCACAATCACATAAAGAGAGTAGAAAAAAGAGCAAAGAGAGAGAAGAGAACCATCTTCGTCCGGAACTTGAACATGAAGGAACAGAAGCTTGAAATCGGAAGCGTTTGATCGAACGATCTTCTGAAGAGTCCAGTCGAAAGCTCCTCTGCTACTTATCGAAGCGTGAGGATACCCTCTAATCGTTGACTCGTTCACTGCCAACATAATCCGAGTTGCGTTTGCCTCACTTGTCGCCATCTTTCCACTTCCTACTCACCGAGTCACTCACTCACTCACTCACTCACTTACTCAGTAACTACTCTCTCTCTCTAAAGCCTTTTGGAACTCTCTAGCTTTTCGAGACTCGAAAGGATCTGCGATGGAGGTTAAATTAGAGGGAGTGCGCAATTTCCATTCGGCGTACGATAAAGATTTCTAAGTGGAAATTGCTATTGTGCACTTTCGCGGTTATAATCCAGCGGTAGATTTGAGTTGATGACATCATCTTTTTCCAAAAATTGGCGGGCCGTACTTTTGTCCTTTTTCGGCCTTTTTATTTAATACAAAATTACCGAAATACCCATCTTAAAATATTGTGATTGGGCCATTTCGGATCCTATAATGCCTGTTATTTCCAAGCCCAACTTAGAACTATCTGGAGATCAAGTTATGCCTTCTAAATTTGTTGAATTCAAGTGGGAATCGCAAATTTAATTTAAAGTCTTTTTTTTTTTTTCTTGCCGGTCGTAAAAATAAATTATATTTTAGATTAAACTTTGGTCTTTGGGTTAAAATTATATAATTCTTCGAAGCCATAATTCTTTGTGTATTATCTTTTTTTTTTTTTTATCTGAAATTTTTTTGTGTTCGATAACCAATTTGAGCATCAATTAATTTAAAATCGAATCAGATCAAATCCCATAAAAAAGATAAGTTCTTTCAAATTTATTTTTTTCATTCACAAAATTTCAAATCAAAACTTTATTTAAAGAGAATCGAATTGTTTGCCACTCAAATCAACAGACATTAGTTATAATATTTTGTGTATTATTTTAGCAAACAATTTGGTTAATCATATAATCAACTTGAATTTATGTTATCTAACCAAATAAAACTCAAGCTTATTTCAAATGATTTAATTCATGACATTGTTTAGTTGGTTAATCATATAATCAATTTAAATATGTAATGTTGAATTCGAATTTTAATTCAATTGATTCATAAAATTTTTTTAAAAAAATATATTTAATAGATTTATAATTCAAATATTTATAATCATAATTTTGAAATTAAAAGAAATTTACATATACCTACATGCCTCATAGCATTAGCTGCAATTTTCTAACCAAGTGGATCATCCCCATATTAAATGGTTTTTATTATTATTATTTATAAAGAAGCTGTGGTTATAGTTTGAGATAAAAAAAAATGTTGGAAGTAATAAATTTGAATCGTATTAGACCAACTCGAACCCTAAATAAAATATTAAGGGATTAATGGACATTTGCTGTTATGTTAGAGGCTTTCAAGGTTCTAAGAAAATCATAAAACAAAACAACAAAATACAATAAAAACTACTTCTATATGACATTTTTCTTACAAATTAGCATGTATTAATAAGAAACTTTACAATCCAAAACAACAATGTACTTCAACTTGTTTTTCTAAAATAGGGGAAAAAAGAAGAGAGATTAAATGCCAGTGAAAGAAACCCTCCCAAAACCCAAATGACCAACCTGATATAACTCTAACCAAAATCTCTCAGCTTCAAACCTTGCACTAAAGTTCCCCATTTCTTCTTCTGTTGAAAGTTCCCATATTCCCTCTTCTACCCCTATCCTTTCTCCCAAATTCCCATCTCCAAACTGATGATCATGATGGTCATGATCATCACCAACTTCATTACTACTACTACTACAACAATTACAACAACTTTTCTTACATTTTCTCTTCATTTCCACCCTGTTTCTCTTCTTCTTTTTCTCTAACCCCAAACACTTCCTCCCCATTTTCCATGGGACTTTAACCAATGCAAGCGTCAAAATGCTGAGCAAAGCACAAGGGCAACAACAAAGCGCGACACAGTCAGCTATTACCCCAGCGGCACATGATCGACACTTACCAGAACACTTTATCAAATCCTCATTACCTTCATCAATGGCGTACCTGCTCTTCTTCCTTGTGGATCCTCCCCCTTTACGTGAAGCTCGAGGTGATGAATTCTCCTCCATTTGATTTCTTCTACTTCTTGATAATATATAATTAACCATAAACACAACACAAAAAAACAAAAAACCTGCAAAAAAAAAGAAGATCAAAACCCTTTGATTTTTCTCATTTCTCTCTCCAAATCTAATGCACTGAATATAACCTCTCTACATTAATTCTGGAAGTGAAAGCTTTTAAAACTTCAAAATGAATAAAAAAAAAAAAAAGAACCGAAATCTTTAAAAGTTATAAGTGTAGGAAACTGAGTTGTTTTTTCTTACACGAATTTATATCTGTAATAATTCAAACACTCAGAGATACGGGGAAACTCACGGGCACAAATGGGATTTGGGTAGGACATACCAATGGGAGTTTGACATGAAAGGAGAGTGGCGACAGAAAATGGATTCAGCGAGTGGGAGTTTGGAATACATTTTTGGTTCAGTTTTGTGATATTACCTAAACCTCCCTGTTTTAGCAGGTTGACAACAATAGGAAGATTAGTAAATGACAAAATTACCCATCTTGTTTTCTTATATGGCAAAGTTGGTATTGAGATTCCAAGCATCTTAAGTTTGTGATTATATAGAAACAAAAGCATGCGTTGTCAGAATTATCGAATATAAACGGTCCATAAATTAATTATAAAATATCAAACATTTTCTTTATATATATGTTAAACATTATATGACTTGATTTATTTGTCATTAAAATTTTAGTAGCTTAAACATTTGACTCAATAATTAATACATTTTTACATAAAAATAAGATTTAAATTGAAAGACAAAAAATAAAAAAATTAATTCAAAATCATAATATTTAATTCAGTGAAGATTAAATTTTTTTTATTTAATTCAGATTAAATTCAAATATTAATTATACATTAGATTCAGATCGAATTTAAATTGAGAAGTGAAAAAAAAGGAAACTGAATCAAATTATATTTTTTATTAGTTTTTATATCGATTTTAAATTTTTATAAATAAAAATAATTATTTTATACCAAAATTTATTTAAATATATTTAAAATTAATATTAAAATAATATATAAAAAAAAAATAATTTCAAAAACCGATAAACCGAATTAAAAGAGTAAAATTTAATTAAGTTCGAATTAAATTTTATGAAAAATTAATTTAAATTTAAATTAAATTTTAAAAATTTATAATATTATTTATTTTTTAAAAAATTAAATCGAATCTGATCAGATTCATTATTACCACTATCATTCAATATGAAAATAAAGCATGGCAGTAAAAATAATTGAAAAAAATTATGAAAGCTTATAAAAAAGGTTTTGCAATGAATACGTTGTTTTCTAAACCCTAATTAGAAAAAAATTGGTGGTGGAAAAAGGGGCAAATTGGTCATTTGGACTGCTGTACAATAGGAGAAGTGAGTAAAAAAAAAAAAAACCCATGGAAAAGAAATGTAACATATATAAGAGAAGAGAAGGTGGAGGATAGGAGAGTTTGAAAATGGAAATTTGACTAAGACGAGACGGCAGAGACAGAAAAGCCCCGTTGATGAAAATATTGTGTTTCCCTTTCATTAGAAAAATAAAATAAAATCAAAACTTCATGTCTCATGCCTATTTTAGCTTTGCAACAACGCTTTCTCTGACCCATCAATAGAGACTCTTCATCTTCCTATTTCAAGTGCTATGGCCTAAGGGGAATATCTTCAGCTTTTCATGTGCATCAACAACAACATGATCATTTCTTCTAACTTTTTCTTTATATATATACATATATATAATATAAATAAATGAGGTCATTGTTTAAAAATATAAAAAAAATTATAAGTATTATGATTTAAATTTTAAATTTGTTAAAAATTATTTTTAAAAATAATTCAAAAATCGAATTGGTTAAATCTCGAAATAAGATATATTTTTTATTAATTAGTTTAGGTTATTTAATTACAAGCATTTCCAGTCATATCATTTCTTGTTAAAGAATAGTCATTATTATTGCATTTTTTTCTAATATTAATTCTTATGACCTAATTTAGTATGTAAAAACATTTTAGAGATCAAAAAATTATTTTATTTAATACATTGTTCGATAAAATTAAAAAATTATTGCATATCATATTAAGATATATTTAAAATATTATCTAAATTAACGTAATAATATTTTAATTTCGTTTGTATAATTTAAAAATTAGATGTATGAAATAATAATATTTAGAGATTACCCTTTGTATATTTTCTGTTTTTGGCTTAGAGGTGTCTAGATTCAAAACAAAAACCCTAATTTAAAAGGAAAAAAAAATGTATATATAGATATGGGTGAGAGTGAAAATTTATTGAAAAATATTTACAAGGTGTTTTCAAAACAGCTTGAAGATTGAATAAGAATGGAAGGATTCTTGGTTCACGTGGGTTAAATAGTATAAAAAAGGGCCTACTACGTGGTCCATGTTGAAAAGCAATAGAATAAATGGGAAAAAAAAAAACTGTAAATTAATGCAATAAAATAGTACTACAAATCTGAATTGGAATCTGCTTTTAAATTGTTTTTTTTAACCCTAATATTTTTGTAGGTAGGGTTGAAAAAAAAATTAATTAATTTAAAAATATTTGATTTGGATTTTTTTTTTTTTAATTTGGTTTTGATAAAGTCCATATATGAAATGTGTATATTGAGTTTAGATCGAATTTTCGATCAAAATATAAAAATAAAAAAAATTGAATCGAATTAAATTATATATTTTTATTAATATTTTTTATATTTTAAATTTTTATTAAATAAAATAATTGTTTTACATAGAAATTTATTTAAATATATTAAAATTTTATTAAAATAATATATAAAATAAAAAATTAAATTTAAAAATTGATGAATCATACCAAATCGATAAAATTTGGTTTGAATCGAATCAATTTTTAAAAAAATGTGGATTCAAATTCAAATCGAATTTTAAAAATCTATAATATTATGTATTATTTAAAAAATTTAAATTGAATTTGATCAAATTTAAACTCTTATCATCCCCTATTGGTAGGTAATTTTGATTATGATTTTAATTTTAAATTACTTGCTGTCCCACATTACGTCCTTTTCTTGCATTTATTTTACTTTTAGAAATTAATTTTATGAAACTAAAATTTTAAGACATAATATATTAAAATTAACTTTTTTTTTTCTTGAACTTGGGAAAAATGAAATAAGAATAGTATTATAGAACCATGGAAAAGGATATAACATAAATGTATTAAAAAGAGATCATAAAAGTTTGAGTCAATGGCAAAAGTACAAGTACTCTATGCATGCAATTGAAAGTAGGTGAATATGAAATTATTGAAATCCCAGAGTTTAAGTTTGATAATGACTTGACTTCCTTTGGAATTAATGGGGTTGAAAAAAATGGTTAGTAGCAGTATTTTTTTTGAAGGACACAATTTGCATTAACTCCATGTTTTATCAATGGAAAAAGAAGGATAAATCAGAGAAGACAACGCCATAAAAGCCAAAAGAATAACCCAAAATCACCCAAAACAAACTTTCTGGATTTAAGCCCAAGAAAATGGCAAAAGACGACTCATTCTTTTAAATCACCCATGCAAAAGATTAATGAAACAGTAGGAAAATTTTTTGCAGTGGGAGCCACTGCAGGTAAATGCAGTACTACTGATGGTTATGGTGGGATCCAGCAGGCAAGACAACCATGAATATATACATATATATTTGTACTGTAATGCACCAGGAAAAAGAAACAGATTCTTTCTATGTTTTGATCATGAAAAATATAATGTACTCTTCCATGAAAGTACAGTCATTTGTAAAGGCAAAAGGAGAAGTTGATGTCAACATTCCAAATATTATAAATCATGAATAATGTAATGGAAGTATCTGAAATCTTACCTTTGGTATTTGGGCTTTTGATGAAGGAGAGACTGAGACTTGGTTGAAAAATGGTTGAATCTGTAAAAAGCTTTTGATCTGATCTCTTGGTTTTGTAGCATTTTTCCAGAGGAATCAGAGCTCTCTTCTGGAGTCTGGGTTTTTTTAATTGATTTTGAATAATTGGGGAAAATTAATTAACCCCTTTATTAAAAACAGTAAAAACAATTTGCTAGTACAGAAAAAGAGTGAAGAAAGAAGTATTAAAAAATTTTGTTGAAAAAATAAAGAGATTCAGATGGCTGGGAGAGTCTGCTTATTATTATTATTTTTTTTTATTTTGATGAGTTCCAATGACAGCGAATATTGGAAATTGTCTCTCTCTGTAACTTTTTTTGGGCCATTACTCTTTTTTAAGCTCTTTTCCTACTTCTAGCAGTGTTTCTTTTTAGTTAACATGAAATTTGATTTCTCAATTATATTATTTTTAATTATTTAATATTTATAAACAAAATTTAAGATTAGATGTTAGAATTTTGTTTTTATCAAATATTTTGTATTATTAGTTAATATTGTTAATCAAAATGTAGACGTAATGTGTCATAATATTATTAATTTTTTTATTATATCATATTTACTATTATCAGAATTAATGAATAATATTAGATTTGATAATATAAAATATAACTAATTTTTTTACCTTGTCATGGACGGAGTTTTTTATTATATTTTTTATAATTTAAAATTTTAATTTATATCAATTTTTATATTATATATATATAAATAAAATCATAATCATTTATAATTTGTAGTTTAAAATTAAAAAAATTGTATATATATAAATTATTATGAAAGAATCTAAATAAGTATTGAAAGCTTTAAATTATTAAAGTAAAATTATATACAAATATTAATGAGAAAGTTAATCTCTTATTCACAATTACATAAATTTTAAAAGCATATATTATTTTAGTATAAATTAAGATTTACACATGTGATATATCATGAAAAAAATTTTCATATTTAATTTTAAAACTTTATCTTGTCAAACTTTTATGACGAAAAGAAAAAAATATTAATTGTGAAAAAAATCATAAATATATATTTGATAATTATTTAATTTTAAAAATTTTAAATTTTTAAAAATTGAGTTTATCCAAGTTTAATTTTAAATTAAGATAAAAAAGTTAGTATAATTTTAAATTTAGATATGTGTTTAATTTTAAATTAAGATAAAATATTTTTTTATTTTAAATTATAAAAAAATAAAGAAAAAAATTGGTAAATAAGAGTGGTTCAACCAAAAATTTTATTTATTTAAATTTATATAAATATTAATTTAGA